CCTTGACATGCTACTATGTTATCGTGTCATCGGATTGCATGAAATCTTCTCATCATTCCACAAAAAACATGGTCTAGACATGACGTAATCAACGAAGGCATAATGAGAGTTGTTTAACAAGCGATAAGCCCTCTAAACCAATTCACCAAATCAACATCTACGAGAAAATCGTCACGCAAATTCAATGTTTATCTCATTCACATATGAAGGTGATCTCGTATGAGTGAATTGAGCTCAATTAGACATGGAGGCTTAATTACTACTCATTTACTGGAGCTTAATGAAGTTTTTCATTGAATAGTTGAAGGTTTCTTGTGTGGAGAGCTTAAATTTAAATAGCTAACAATAATTCCAAGAGTTTGATCACATTCGATCACATTCAGTCATAACTTCCTTGAATATTGCCACTATGATTATCATTCACCATTATCATCGTTAGTATTTCTATCTCTCGTTCAGCAACAGGATCAAATGTCTGGATTGCTATATATGGGTAGATCAATGGATGTACCATCGGATCAACTTGGAAATTTACTCGACAATTACTTGGACAGTGTGCTTGATCAATCATCCCTCTTGGACCTTGCCGACGAAATCGAGTTGAATCGACAGAAACGCCCATCGGCAAGTGTTCGGCACGAATCGTTCAGATTAAACTCCAATTAAGTCATGTCAAATCTCAATTAAGTCAAAAGTTCCAACCGTAAATATGGTTCGAAAACTTGATAGGTTGTTTTCGATTTGGAATGTATATGTGTACATAATCAACTTGTTGTGTCAAATTATTTCCGATGTTTGTGCATTTTGTTGATATAACATTTGACTGTTAACTTCACTTCTGATCATTCAAACGGCTGATATTATTTGTACTTATTGAATTGTTTGCTTCAAAATGTGAGAAAGCAAATACATGATCACAATAACAATGATGATAGTGATAACCGTACCGTGACTTTGTTTGTTTACAATCATTTGGATTGCATTGTTCACTGTCATAAATGATATTCACTTGAATGTGGATGGTTGATCAATTGAAACTAGTTTCTACACTGTTCCACATTCTCAGTTGTCACATGCTCAAACTTATTCCTAAAGAAGAAAACTTCCACAACGAATAACGATAATGTTTCCATTCGCTCAGTCATTAACTCTTCGACCAAATCATTAATAAGCATTTGATAAAACTCTCATGAATGTACATCCAAGACAGCAAGTGTAATATTCAAATTTGTGCATGAATCATATATTATACATTATGAATGAATGATTGAGACGTGTAAGAAATAACATATT